TCACTAAAGTTTGGCCTTTGTCACTGGCTAAAGGTAGACGATTATTCTTCATTAACATTGTTTATTGTGCATATTGATTGTAATTTTTTTCTAAATTTTCTAGTTTTCTTATTAGAATGTATTACCCTGAAAATGATGTAAACTCACCACAATCTTCTGCCACATTTGGGTATCTTTCATGAAAATCTCCTACCATTTTGGGGAAAGCTTATATGATTTATTCAAATGATTTCATATTTAATGTTTGAAGCATTTAAGAATTTGGAGTAGTGATTAAGCGTTGGGCTTTAGAGTCAATTTTCAATGTTAGCCTTACTATTTGTTAGCTTTGTAAACCTGGCTATGTCCCTTACTTATTCTCTAAATCTCAGCTTCTTAATATTTAACATAGAGACCATAATAATATTTATATTATAAAAATGTGGTGGGATCACAGAAGATACATAAGCTTCATAGTACAGAGTTTTCTCACTTTAGAGTGACTTAATTAGGGTTAGCAATATTAAAAAAATGAGGAAATTTGTTTAAATAAGCTTTATTTAGTTGGAAAAGTAGGAAGGGAAACAAGGTTTCTAGAAGTGAATAAAACTTAAAATTCTGGACTCCGGAGCCTGACATTGCCAAGTGCCCTCTCTGTCAACTGCGGTTTGAAATCTGTTACTTATACTTGTGCAGCTTCTCAAAGTGATAAATTATTCAAAAATATACAATGTCTACATTTACTTTAGGATTGAAGGAGGTAAAAAAAAACAGGATATCTGAATTTTAAAGAAAATAAATCAATCTTGGTTCAGAATAATATTTGTAACAAGGATTACAATTATTTATTGGAAAAAAGCAAAATGTATAGTTGAAAAAAATCTATTAGCTCAACTAGTGATCTACTTGTTCCTGCAAAAGACAAATATTAGGGCATATATATGTGTGGTATTTGTGTTTTAGAGGCTTTTTATTATAATTTTAATTTACCCGTGAAATTGAATTTTCTCATTTCCCTTGGGAGGCAGTTTGTTGCATAGCCTTGAATATTTCATTCAGAGATGTTCATCCATCTCATTCAAAAAAGTTCACCTATATTCAGCTTCACTGTACTTAGTTTCAAATTTGAGTTGGCCTATCTTTTCCTATTATAATCCATTGCCATACCCTAAAATTCATTATTCTGAATTGGCAACCAGGTCTTATACTACAGTTAGAAGATGGGAATCATATTAATTTAATATACATTTTTAGTCAGTGACCCATGCTATCTTATTTTTAAAATTTGATCAAAAGATGCTAAATACTTGTTGTCCTTTTCCTGATTAATATTTATCCAAAGTTCTTACTCAATCTTAGAGTGTTTACTGTCCAAATAAAAAAATGATATGAGCAACACCCGGAAGATCTCTGGCACTCTTATTTTTAAAAATTTTACTTGCACCTATTCTGTGTAAGACCGAGTAATATGTTATCAGAACTAAATGCTTTTATTTGTGCTAGAAACTAATGGCTACTCTTATGGAGGAAACCTAACTTGATAGCTCTTGGATGGGAATGCAGAGCAGCTTCCAGTACAGCTATCATGGGGCTTCCATGGGGGCTGTCCTTTGGGTTTCAAACAACACAGATGTTGCCCAGTTGTAGGGGAAAAAAGAAACAAGGTGGATTTTCCAGTGAAAAAAAGGGAGTTTTTTTTTTTTTTTTTTTTTTTTTGGCAAAGTATGGTGGCTCATGCCTATAATCCCAACACTTTTGGAACTTCAGGTGGACAGATCACTTGAGCCCAGGGGTTCAAGACCAGTTGGGGCAATATATTAAGTCCTTGTCTTTACCAAAAAATATAATAAAATTAGCCAGGTGTGGTGGTGTGCCTGTGTGGTCCCAGGATTGCTTCACCTCATAGGTGAAGACTGTAGTAAGCAGTGATTACACCAATGCACTCCAGCCTGGGCAACAGAGGAAGACTCTTGCAAAAAGGAAGGAACAGTTTTTGTTTGTTGTTTGACAGAGTCTTGCTCTCTTGCTCAGGCTGGAATGCAGTGGCATGATCTTGGCTCACTGCAACCTCTGCTCCCAGGTTCAAGTGCTCTTCCTGCCTCAGCCTTCTAATAGCTGGGATGATAAGCATGCACCACCATGCCTGGCTAATTTTTGTATGTTTAGTAGAGATGGAGTTTTGCCATGTTGGCCAGGCTGGTCTCAAACTCCTGACCTCAGGTGGTCCACCCATCTCAGCCTGCCAAAGTGCTGGGATTGCAGGCATAAGCCACCATGCCTGGCCTGAAACACTTTTTTTTTGGTTATTTATTGATGACTTTTTCCAGTAGAATGATCCATTTATGAGAAATTCAATAGCAAACTGACAAAAAAATTACCCCCATTATATTGCTGATTTTATTATTATGTGTGTAAGAATATTCTTAAGATTTGGTAAAGGCAGAGGGATGAGCGCAGATGGGGGAAAGAAATGGAATTTATCCAGAATAGATGTTAGTGTTAGAAAAATGCTTAGACTTAGTTCTTAATTTTACTGAAGAGCAAATTGGGAACCAAAAAAGCAAAGTTTCATATTAAAGTTCATTATGGATCCTAAACCAGTTGCTCATTATTTTGCAAACCCACACAAAGTTTTGTTTTATTGTGTTTTTAAATTCTTTTTATTCTCCCTTGTGGCATAATGTTTTCCCAGTACATTAAGATGACATGGAAGCCTTTATCTTTAGCTTTGATCGCTTCTATAGCTATCAACTGATTGATCTAGTAATCTTCTAGATACATTGTCTTTGCAAAATTATCTTAAATGTTTCACACAGTGTGTATTTTGTCTTTCACATTTTTGAACTTGTCATTTTCCTTTCTCTCTGTGCTCCTCTACCATATTCTACCATCTCTGGTGAAAGTCAACATTATGCTCAGTTTTCAGGAGTCATCCCTTAATTTCTCTTCTTCACCCTGACTTCTAATAAGTTAATAAATAGCAGTATGATCATCTGCTTATTTGTCTCCCACATTAGGCCATATGTTCTCTGGGAAACAGTGTCAGTCTTACTCATTGTGATGGTCAATTTTATGTGTCAACTTGACTGGGCTAAGGTATGCTCAGATGAAACATTATTTCTGGGTCTGTCTGGGTGGGTGTATCTAGATGAGATTAGCATTTGAATCAATGGACTCAGTAAAGTCCAGTATTCTTCTTAATATGGGAGGGCACCATTCAATCTATTGAAGGCCTGAATAGAACAAAAGGCAAAGGAAAGAGGAATTTCCCCCCTTTTCTCCTGCCTCACTGCATGAGTTGGAACATCTGATCTCATCTTGTGCTGGCCTCGGACTATGATTTATACCATCAGCTTCCTGGTGCTTAGTTCTTTGGACTCGGACTGAATTACACCATAGCCTTTTCTGGTTCTGCAGCTTGCAGCGGCAAATCATGAAAACCTCCCAGTCACCAAAATCATAGGAGCCAACTCCTTATAAGTCTTTTACCTATTGGTTCTGTGTCTCTGGAAAACCCCAACTAATACTCTCATCTTTGAATACTCAGGATTTGCTAAGCTTTCTTGCACACAGTGAATAAAACACTAATGCATATGAAGCAGAGGACAAAACCAGGATTTGGTTCGTTTGTTTCTGCAACAGCATTTCTATCCTACTTTCCAAACAAAAAATTGAAGCACATGGTATGAGACAATCAGGTCATGCCCTACTTCAGGCCCTCCTCCAGTCTCCTTTGGCTATGCAGTAGTGTTGTAACTGATCCTTTTTAATGCTTATGGTGCCCACATTCATATCCTCAACACTACTGCCTGAAATCAAATAAGAAAAAGAACTCCCAATGAAACTTCTGAGGTTTTCATATTGCTATAGATGTATGCTGGAAGCACAAAGAATATCTATTCATCAACGTAACTGTAGAAGATGGCAAATTGCCCTGCCCTACTCGATAAATGTTTGGTGAGTAATATAGTTTGAACATGTGTCCCTGCCCAAATCTCATATTGAAATATAATCCCCAGTGTTAGAGGTGGGGTCTGGTAGAGGGTGATTGGGTCAGGGGGGTAGATTTCTCATGAATGGTTTTGTACCATCTTCTTGATACTGTCCTCACAATAGTGAGAGAATTCTTGGGAGATATGAGCTTTTAAAAGTTTGTGGCACCTCCCTCCTCACTCTATTCCTCCCACTTTTGCCATGTGTTGTGCCTGCTCCCCCTTTGCCTTTCACCATGATTGGAAGCTTCCTGAGGGCTCCCCAGAAGCAGATGACTCTACACTTCCTGTACAGCCTGCGGAACCATAAGCCAATTAAACCTCTCTTCTCATAAATTACCCTTTCTCGTGAATTTCTTTATAGCAACGTGAGAACAGACTAATACAGTGAGTAAATTTAACATTGATGAAGTAAGTGTGATCTTTCTAAGAAAGCAGAATTACTTTGCTGAGATAGAAAAGCAGACAGTTTTCAGTCAGGTTTCCTCCCTTCGAATGCTGACCTTAAGCTGTGAGACGTTATGCTTTGTTTCCTAACTTCTCTGTATCTGTTTTCTTATCTCTTAAATGGGAATGATAATAATATCTTCATTTGACAGCTCTTTTGACCTCAAAAAATAAATTAGACAGTGGTTAAATAGAGCTAGTATTTTGTTTTACACATCATAAGGGCAAAATAAATATGTAATTACTGTTTATTAAAACATAAATCTAGGCTATATTAACCCTCTATAAAGTTGTTTAATATTTCTAACAGTTTTTAGGGTCAAGTCCAATCTTCTTAATTTAGTATGTAAGGCCCTTCACGAGTCTCGTTTATTGCTTTAAGCTAACTTTAATTAAATGCTCAATTTCATTAAATTCTTCTAAACACAGAAGAGCAAACAAATAAACAAAATCTATGCCCAAGTCAGTATGCCATCTCCTTCCCAGATTCCTTCACACATATTGTTCCTCTGCACTTAAGGAGAGGGGTCCTGCTTCAGACTCTTCTCCTGGAGTTAACTTCTATTTGCTGTTAAGTAATACCTCGTTGAAGGTGTTGCTCTCAGACTTCCAATCTCATCTGGGGGCCCTTATGTTCACTGCTGTGTCTCCAGCACCTAGAAAAGTACCAAGTACTTGATGAGGCTCAATCAAACATTTGAATGAATGAACTACATTGAATGAATGAACTGCAGAATGCTCAACTGTTTTTGTTTCCCAAATTTAATTGTATGTTCTTTGGTGGAACAGGCTCAATCTTACTTTGAATACCCAGGGTTTGCTAAACATTAGTGTATATCATAAAGCATTAATGCATATGAAGCAGTGAACAGAATCAGGACTCTTGTTTTTGATGTAATAACACTCATATAATTATTTCCATCAAAAAAATTGAACATATAGTATGAGAAAATGTTTCAATGTATTCATCTACTATATTTCAGGGGAATAAAATGTTACTCAAACTTAAATTCCTCAAAGTTGAAAATTATCTTTTTTTTTTTTGTATCTTTCACTGATTTTTCAAACCTATACCCTAAGAACAGATGTGTTATATACTGTAGACAGTTCTTAGTAAGCTCTCTAATATACACAGGAGTATAATTCTAATGAGCCCTCCAATTACCACCTTTGATAGAACTAGGAAAATATATTGAAGAATGTTGTTACTATTATTTTGTATTCCCCTGTGTTAGTTTTTATTATCTCCCATCTATTTTATTTTCAAAGATATTAGCAGCCAGATTTCAAAATTAAACAAGACTTAAGAGTATATCTTAGGGAATAAAAGGTAAGAAATTTGAATATTTCCATGCCTCTTTTGACTCCATTTTGAAGTAAACCAAGGAATATTTGAAGTGGAAAAGATGGGACAAGTTATAAGAGTCAGCAAGAAGATGAAGAAGAAGGCAAAGAAAAGGGAAAAGATAAAAATTAGGAAAAAAATAACAGTGCTCCACTGGTAACTGGCTGTCAACATTTATTATTTACTTATTTATAGTTTACAAACTGGAACCTCTCCTTTGTACTTCTGAAAAAAGACTGGTATTTAGCTTGGGGGCAAGTAACTTCTTTGATGTTCAAAACTGCATTAATATATCTTTTTCTATGGCAAATGTAGGAATTTTGTCTAAGCATGTGGCACATTGACTGGAAGATAAAAGACATCCAATAAACAAGTTTTTTGAATTAAATTAAAATATGCTTTGTCTTCTCTTGCCTACTTTAGGATTACATATGTGTTGGCTGTAAAGCTGTAGTTGGAAAATTTATTAAATATTTTTTTTCTACTTCATTCCATTGTTGAGAAGAAGAATTTAAGGTAAAGGTAATATTTAGAGTGATTTAATTCATTTTTGCTTACAGTGGTATCTTAAAGCTCTCATTACACTATTGAGTTATGATTGTAATACTGGGGTTCAGGGTGCCCTCAGCTCCCCTGAGAGGACATTTCTTCAGGTTCCAATTCCAGACTGACTCCACTGGAAATTTGAACCAGCAACCTTGCAGTCACAGGCACTACACCTCAACCAACCGTGCAAACAAGCCACTGGCATTAAAGGAAGGCAGAAAGCTTTCTTACGTGCTACTTTGAATGAATATGCTGCACCGTGAGGGGGTGCGGCCTGCCTAAAAGCCGGGCGGGGCTGGGGCTGACGGCCAACGGCCGCTTCCTTTACCTCAGCCGCACTGGCAAAGGAGAAAGGCCAGGCCTGGCGCCGCCCTGCTCCGAGCCTGAGGGGAAAGCCCGCCCCCACCCCTGCGGCATCCCGTCGGCCATGTTGCCAGGACCACGTCTCCAGCCTGGGTCACTCTCCCAGCTGCTGCCCAAACAGAGACTCGTGGCCAGTAGGCCAACGTCCTGGGGAGCCTTTTTACCATGCTGCCTGGGACAGAAGACCGCCAGAGAGGCCTGCCAGAACTAAGTGCCATGCTGCGTGCTCCCTGGTCCTTTGCAGTCTCGGGTGGGGGCACCTCCCCACTCCCGCTGTTTTCTCCAGCTGACCCCAGCGCTCTCCCGCTGGGCTGCTCCCCGAAGACAAGGAGCGAAAGGCCCTGGGGGCAGTGCTCCCCCACTCCGCCCCACAGGCTCCCACAGGAAAAAACTGCACTTTTAATTCCCCCAGCCCGGAGGAAGCTCGGCACCGCGGCTTTGGTGTTCTTAAAGAGACAGGACACAATGGGGCCGGTTTTACTCACGATTTTGAAGTCTTTTTCTCCTGGCTGCACCCCTCTTTCTGGTGTACCCCTCTCATGGCTGGCTTGCCAAAAGGTAATATTGGGGTTCAGGGGTTCAGGGTTCCCTCAGCTCCCCGGAGAGGACGTTTCTTCAGGTTCTTGGCCTCCTGCCCTCTCAAGAATGAGAGACGGGACCGTGCAGTGTGCAGTAAATGCCGGACTCAAAAGTGTTTGTAGAAAGTGATTTATTGAGAGAGACAGAAACAGGAGAAGGAGAGAGAAAGGAACAGCTAACTCTCACACTGAGTGAGAGAATCCAGAAAGATGGAGTCCCGGAGAGGAAAGCAGCTTCCACACTCAGTGAAAGGGAATAGAGAGAGATGGAGTTAGGAGGGGAAGACAGGCTTCCATGAGAGAGTGTGGAAGGGGACTCCAGAGGGAAAATCCAGGATAGAGAAAAACAGCTTCCACAAAGGGAGTGTTCATGGAAGGGGATCCAAACATGGGGTCTGAAGGGGTGTGGAAGAAGGGGTCTTTTAACCTGGGAGGAACCCCCACCTTCTCTAAGACCCCAGGCTAATCAAAGGAGTTCCTTAGAACTTCCGCTGGAGTGATTGACTCTTAGTTTCTTCCCATGTCCACAAAATTCAAACATAAACCGTTAAATCTCCCGGATGGAGAGAGATGGGAGGGGGTCATGGCGCTAGGAGGTTCTTGCCCTTACAACTGCGCCCCCTTGTGGACCCGGAAAGAGAACACATTCTCTCATGATTAGTAATCAATGCACATGTACTTGTTTATGTGTCCACTTAGGTTCCCTTATGTGTACATTCATATGTGTGCACGTACTTTTATACACTCCAATAGCGTGATTAATATGTATTTCTAAAATCACTGGCAATTATTTATTTTTTAGATTTAAATTTATATATTTTAAAACAATGTACATTATTATTGCATAAGGTGCTTTTAGATAATTTTAAAAGAGTTATTTTAATCTTTTGATCTTTATGGCTTTCAAAATTTAAAAAATCTATCTTTAAAATGTAGGATTATCCCCTTGAGTCTATGAGAAAAAGCTCTTTCCAAAATTGAAAAAATGTATATCATTTCTATCTACAGCACTGGCACATGTGAATTTTACAGGAATAAGGAAGATTAACTAGGAAGGCAGGACGATGTAAAGGAATCTGAGAAGCAGTAGGGGATGATACTTGACCTTTTAAGGCTTCTCAGGGGATTGAAGTTAAAGCAATTCCAGGTGGTCTTTGGAATCACTTGACATTTCCTGTAAGTGATGGGCCAAACAAGAAAAAGCCAGAGAAAGTCAGGGTTACAATACAGTTTAATTTCACCAGTTTATTGAATATATTTATTTAAAGTATCTCTTTGGCGCCACAATCATTACAGTTAAAAATGCTTTCCTGTATTCATCACAAAAACTAACATGGTGCTCCTGTCAGTCAAGGCTCAACCTTATGTCTCTTCCTTTCTGTATACTCCCTCTCAAGGCTCTCTGTCAATTCCAGAGATTCAGCAATTATCTCTCTGTTAATTATCTAATTCCACGTTTCCAGCCCTGATATTTGTCCTAGATCAGGACTCATATTTTTTTATCACCTGCTTTATATGCCTGTTTGGATAGTCTATTACTACACAAGACTCAGGCTACCATTTTTAAAGGTGCATCTGCAGCTACTATTTGATGTGTTCTGTACATCACAGTGGACACAAAAAAAAAAACCTACTGAGCCTCCCTTTTTTTGAGTATTTTGTGGCTTAAACAACAGGTCAACAAACTTTTCTTTAAAGGCCAATTACGCTGGGCACAGTGGCTCACACCTGTAATTCCAGCACTTTGGGAGGCCGAGGTGGGCAGATCAAGAGGTCAGGAGTTTGAGACCAGCCTGGCCAATATGGTGTCTCTACTAAAAAGACAAAAAAAAAAAAAAAAAAGTAGCCGGGCATGGTGGTACACACCTGTAGTCCTAGCTAATCGGGAGGCTGAGGCAGGAGAATCATTTGAACCTGGGAGGCAGAGGTTGCTGTGAGCCGAGATCACGCCACTGCACTCCAGCCTGGGCGATAGGGAGAGACTTGGTCTGGAAAAAAAAAAGGCCAGTTAGACTCAATTCACGATAGAAGCTGAAAAAAGGTTTCCCAGTGTGATGGTTAATACCGAGTGTCAACTTAATTGGATTGAAGGATGCAAAGTATTGATCCTGGATTTGTGAGGATGCTGCCAAAGGAGATTAACATTTGAATCAGTGGGCTGCGGAAGACAGACCCACCCTTAATCTGGTGGACACCGTCTAATCAGCTGCCAGCAAATATAAAGCAGGTGTAAAAATGTGAAAAGTCTAGACTGGCCTAGCCTCCCAGTCTACATTTTTCTCCCATGCTGGATGCTTCCTGCCCTCAAACATCAGACTCCAAGTTCTTCAGTTTTGAGACTCATACTGGCTCTTCTTGCTGGTCAAGCTTGTAGACAGCCTATTGTGGGACCTTGTGATCATGTATGTTAATACTTAGTAAACTCCCCTTTATACACAGTTCTCTCCCTCTAGGGAACCCTGAGTAGTACCCCCGGTATACAGTGGTAGTAAGCTGCTTTCCCCCTCTGTGTCCATTTTGCGTCATACTCACACCCCTATTATACTACCCATCACACTTCTTTATACAGTCATGTGTTACTTAACTACAGGGACACGTTCTGAGAAATGCATTTTTAAGCAGTTTTGTCAAGCGAACATCATGGAGTATGCTTACACAAACCTAGATGGGGTAGCTTACTCCACAGCTAGGCTATATGTATAGCCTTTTGCTCCAAGTCTAGTAACCCATGCAACACATTATTATACCAAATACTGTAGTCAACTATAACACAATGGTAAAAATAGGTATAACTAAATATAGAGAAAGCAAAATAAAAATATGCTATGAAATATTTTTTAAAAAAGGTACACCTGTATAGGGCACTTATGAATGAAGCTAAGAGGACT